TTGCACAGCACGATTTGTGTTGGTGAAATAGTTCCAAAGACTTGCCTGTCCTGTTTTTTACCATGCAAAACACGCTTTCAGACGGGTCTTTGGAACATTCTTGAAGGTCTTTCAACCCACTGTTTATGGCATGTCTGCCAGGAAAGGAAGAGCAGTGAGCCAGCGCAAAAGAAAGCACGGTGAAATCCGTGAAAGCTGTAGACGGCGAAAGCTGTAGAAGGAAAAAATGTGATTTCACTGCGTGAGAGTTACATGGCTCTTTTGAATCAACTTCAGTGTCATGTGTTCTTGAGGTCGTGGTTGTTCCTTAGTCTAGTATTTCGCTACTAGAGGACATTTTTCTATCGCTTTTAGGGGCCTTCAATTTCGTTATTGGAGACATGTTCTTTCGCTATTAGGGGCCACAATTTCGTTATTAGATGACATTTTCTATCGCTATTAGGGGCAGCAATTTCGTTATTAGGAGACTTTTTTTATCGCCATTAGAGGGCGCCCTCTTCTTTTCGTCTTCCTCAGGTTCCTCGGACCTCAAAAGCGCCCAGTTAACGCTGGGTTTTCGGGCCGAAGGGCGGTCGACCGAGGGATCGTGAGGGTCTCGATCCCCCGTCAGATGGGTTTCTTCCAGTATCATGGGACTGCAGTGACTGAAGTACAGTGGCAACAGAGGATTTCTCCTACTTTGGGCATGGAGTGATCTCTCTCATAGACGAGACCTGGTTACGACCTGCTTCTTCCATATTTCTATATGTCATCACGACTTCCTCCTGTCGTGTAGCGCTGATCGATGTCCCCAACTCCGTGAGGACAAGGTTCGAAGACGCGTCAATTTCGAGATGGCCGTGCACCGTTGGCGGGAAGATGGCTGTCAGCCGGGGGCCCCGGTTTCGATCCAGGCCCCACAGGGATGGGCCAGACTTTAGGGTCGCGGGATGGGCGGTGCTCCTCAAAGGTTTTATTGAACAAATCTCGGGAGGTTTGGAAACGTGTCTTTCTACCTATGAGTGACAGGTGCCACCAAGAAACTAGCACACCCTCCAGCTCTGGGGTTTGCATCGCCCTGGGGCCAGTTTGTTACCCTCTCTCCTTTCAATGCCAGTACACTCTCTGAAATACTTATGGAAGTGGAACATGGACGATGACCCTTTTCCGAATACCAAACAGGCGGTGTTCCACTCACGACACCATGATTCTTTCAGGGAGTGTAGCAGTGTAGCATCCACTTCAGGGAGTGTAGCACTCCAGGAACCTCCAGGAACATCAATCTCCCACCTTCGCCACCAAAGAAATCCACTGCCAGCATTCCTTCAGTCTCGCCGCCCAATGGTACCGGCACATGGGGAAGAAGCACTCCAGCTCAACTCTTCCCCCTCCCGTTTGCACCGGTCCCCGGCTGGCGCGCCTTCGCCCACGGTCTGAGGGCCCAGGTGAATAGCAATCCCTGGAAAAGCTCCTTGGCCTTCACCCCTGACGCCGTGAAGCTCGCCGACCTGGAGGCCGACTGCTCGCTGTTGGAAACACAGACCCGGTGGGACTCAGAGTGTATGGATGTGAGCGAATCTGCAGAGAGGACGTATTTATATAATATATATTGGGTATTTGCTACAATCTCCCTTTCGGAGGATCCTTACTGCAAAACACCAGGTGGATGAAGCTGCCAAACAGGAGTGCTTGCTAGAAAATATCAGGTGTAAGCCCACAAACATCCAGGTGGCAAAACATCAGGTGACTATATACCCGAAGGTTTTATGCAAGAACAGTCTAACATCACCAGAAGGCGACTCCTTGTAAGCAAATCATTCTCAACGGCTGTTCTGCAGAATTGGATTTCAAACTCTGGGGCACAGAAACCGTGGGAATCATTGTGTGTCAATCCTTGGGCCTGTTGGGAAGAATCCCCCCCGCACCACCCTCCAAAGGGGACTCGCCTTCCTCGGCCGCCCAAGACGGACCGTTTCGCTGCCAGGGTGGCTTGCCGCGGCGCGTGCAGATCGAGACAGCCTTGGCGGTCGCAGGGATCACAAGGGGTCAGCTGATCAATCAGGAGATCCGGCCGTTGGTCAGTAACACGCAAGAGCGGTTTTGCAGCAGAAAAGGTGTACCCTCAACAACGGAAGTGGATAGAATGACCATGAACGGAGAATTACCAAATCACAGGAAACCCGAATGCCAAACAGTTCTTTTTCCCACGACAATAGTGTGCTTCTCGGAAGGAGGGCCTGTGGTGATGTGTGTTTTTCGTTGGAGGAACAAAAAAGCCGTGTAAAGCCTCATATGTGTATACACACACATAAACCTAGGGTGTGTCCCATTGCCAGTAACAGTCGATAAGAGAAATGCCTGCAACTGAACCATCATCATCCACTGTTACTGGTAATGGGATAAAATGTACCCATTCAAGTCATGAGGCACATCTCTCCGGACTTGGAAGCTCTTTCCAGGAGAAGTTGATCGACAATCCAAACCGGCCGTTGACCAATAGCTGGGAGCTCCTCCGAAGACAGTGGCCTGGAAAGCAAACGAGGGGGGGCAATGAGGGGCTCGATCCAGTGAGGGACTTTGCTATTCTAGTTGGTTCTCTTCAGCTACTTATCAAAGAACCAACTAGAATATTCTATATATATATATAGTTGGTTCTAGTTGGTTCTAGCAACTTTGATATTAGTAACTTCAATGCTTCTGTTACTTTTCCCTGAAGGAACGGGGTAAGTTCGGACCTGCTGTAACAATTCAGGACATTAAGTCATCATACTTTGACCAGTGACTCAGGTTGGCTCCAACAATCCAAAGCAGACTGAGTTGGAGCCAGAAACGACCCTGCATAGATGATTTTCAAATTGGATCCCTGATCTAGACTAGGGTGATTGGCATTGGGTTGGGAGAGTGCACGGCCGGGCACCTTGACACTGTGCTGGTGTTGGGCAAGATCTGTACAACGTGGCCAGGTACATGAACTACACTACTTTGCTCGAGGCCGGCCCTTCCGAACGCGTCGTCATCCTTTTGAAGGGATCACCAGACAAACCGAAGCTAAGCAGGGTTGGCTAAGAAATTCTTGCCAAAGAGGAGGATTCTGATGGATCGCTCTGACCGGATCATGGGGAGGTTGCTCTCGACCTCCTCCGCTTTTTGTTGAGTTCTGAAACCTCCAGGCTGCGCAGGTTGGAAGAGAAGAGCTTGACCCGATTTCGGTTTCGTGAGGTCTGTGGAACCCCCCAACGAGGTTTCGCCAGTTCCGACCACCGACCACCCCGAGGTCCACAAAAACCCAGCGCAGCTTGGAAGCTCCGCAAGTTGGTGAGAACATGTGAGAAGCATCTGTAGGGAAAAGACATTGTGAACATCTTAGCTGACAATCCCTCAAATCTTGGAGCGGTTTGGTGGCACAATCTACCCTTTCGGAAGCGAGTCGCCCCATCTTCCGTGGTTCTCCATGAACAGTCTTTAGCTCAGATTGGTACAATCCACAGAACCCTTCAAAACCTCCATGTCTCCAGTCCTCGCTCCTCTTCCTTGCTCAACCTCAGGCGCAGCTCGAACTGTGGCTCCGGGGGGAGTGGCTCGGTCCCGTGTGGCGCAGCGTGCACGACGTCAGCGGGCAATTGGTCACCTCCATGGATGAGGCGCCCCTTTTTCTCGCGGCGGGGCCGTGCGCGCGGCGCCGTGCGGGTCCGGCTCCGTGTGCCTGTGATCTGGTGGGATGGGGGTTTCACTTATGTAACCCAAGACACAGGTCACCCAGGTCACCGGTGCAGGCCGCTCTTTCCCAGGTCTCCGAGCAGCTGGCCACGCTGCGCGGCCGTGCGGAGCGCGACGTGCGGAGCCACGGAAGCGGCGACGCGAGGAACCTGGTGGCGAACCTCGGAGTGCCCGGCAGTGGGACGGTGCGCAGCCTGGCGCGGGGCAGCAGCTTCCGGACACGGAGCAGTGTGGCAGCGGGTGATAGCAGGAAGTCGATGAAGGTGCATCTGGGATGGGGTGTGGATGTCGGATCATGTTAGTGGAGTTGGTGCTGTCGGATAGGGAGGCAGAACCTTGTGTCAGTTAGAAGAGAATGCATACACTTTATAAACTCTACTTACTTGGTCTTACAAAGCGGTCAACTTCAACCGCTCTTTCAACCACGCGGCTTCAACTCATGACAATTCGAGCACGACAAGGGAGTCCTTCACCATCGTTTCCGATGGAAGCGATGAGCACAGTGTGCTCGCTCCTGTGAACCCGGTCTTGGAAAATCACCGAGCTGGTGTCCTGGTCCCATAGTCAAAACTGATACACTCACAGGTCTTGTGCAGGAATCGACTTCGAACATTTGCTGGAGCCATGAGGAATTGGCGCTCCGAAAAATGCACCACTTCTCGCAGAGTTCCGCCATGTTCCGGTTCTAGGACTCTAGTTCCTTTGACTGATTGATATCGATCATTTGGAATGCAGTGCTAGATGCTCCGATGTATTTTCGACTGCAACAGCTATCCAGCATGGGGTGAAGCTCCATCCACGCTGGATAATTAGTGTATGCGCCATGTGTATGCTGAAGACTTGTTGCTTGGAATCAGTGCATCATAAGTACTCTGTCTAGCATTTGAAGCTATTTTTGGCAGTGCTTTTGGACAGGGAATGGACGGATCATTCTGTATATCAAAGATCCACAGATCAACTTACGGAAAGACACCCGAAGCCAGACACCGTTGGTCAATGGGCTATGCATTTCGACGCGTTGGCTCAAGTGGAAGAAGAGCGTGGGAGAGTACAGTTGCTCTTCACGGAGCCCTAACAATGGTAGATGGACCTCCTTTGTAGAAAGTCTATCCTCTTCATACTCCGTTGACCAACCTATACCACTTATGCTCCCCACCGGGGTTTTCAAGACCACGCCCCGGAGCATGTCTCAATCGGCCACATGCCCAGGTGAAGGAAGGCAGCCGTCCCGAGGTACGGATGGAAGAAGCCCTCACCGCTGTCATCGTCCACGTGGCTCGGTGAAGTGGGACGACGGCGCCCGGCGCGGCGCAGGTTTCGCGGCGTGGGCACGGCACGGGCACCTGCCCACCTACCCTCGGGTGGACACTGATTCGGGTGGGCAGGTTGCGCAAGTGGCTGCGTGTGAAGAGAGGGAATTTGATGGATAGAATGATAGATGGATAGATGCCGACATCGATGCTTCCATACACCGCAGGCTGGGTTCGACCTGGAAAGTGCCACCTGATGGTCTCCTCTCATCCAGGTCACGACCCGACGACGTTCAGCCAAGACCGCTGCGCGATCCGACGACTGATGCAGCATGACCGATGCTTCGCACTGTGCGACTTGCATCATTTGCATTTTCAGTATCCAGATCATCGCACAGAAGCTGCATGAGAGCGGTGTACAGTGGTATATTATGGTGGATTTTTCTTCCATCAGTATATCCATCAACCGAACGGTAGAGTCTTGGAGACCGAGGCAGAGAAGGAACATGCCTTCCTCCGCACCTTGACTGCCACGAATGGCGAGCTGGCGGAAGCTCGTCCGCACCGAATCTGTCTCTTGAAGCTCGGCGATCTTCGCATTCCCAAAACGCGAAGCGGGATCCAACGTACTCAGACCCCGTCCAAAGGAGGAAAATGTTGAGCAGATCTCCAATAGATGTCCTCAAGGTTTCAGGGTTTGTGACCATAGTATGTCCACATCCAAAACGAGAATTGATTTCCCACAGGTTCTGAACCGGTTTGGTCATGCGAAACAGGTCACGTCGAACCGGAAAGACCACGAGTTCTCGTCCTCGCTGCTGCGAGCCGCGCCCTGAGGAGCTGGGCCGCTGTGGTGCGGAGCTCTCGGCGCTAGCGGCGCGGAGGCCCTTCACCTACGAGGAGCTCTGCGAGAGGTGCGAAGGCAGCTTCGGAGGCCCGGAAGTGAAGGGTGGGGGGGTTGGGATCGGGGTTGGGATTTCTCCCCCAAAACTGTACTTATTTCTCCAACCTTTTTTTTAAGTTCATCTAAACATATCTAAACTAAACTTGCGTGTTGAACAGTGTTGGGGGAAAAAAACGACCACCAAAACTGCTTGTGAAGACCTTCACACTGCCGGTGACCCAAGCGCCCGAAGCCTCAGCCGGAGGCGGCGACGGACCGAGCTCTTCGGCCTCGCTGCGGGCGGTGCCGCCGACGCTGACCTTCGAGCTGTTGGAGCAGGGCATTGATCCTCGGGAGAGGATCGGACATAATCATATAATATCATATAATATATATATATATATCTATAATCATACATAGTACTATATGTATATAAGTATATATGATTATATATATAATCATATTTATAATATCATATTATTTGTATTTGTTGTACCAGGACCTTCCAAGAGGTGTCTATAAAAAGAGGTTTTCTGGGGTGCCCAAAAACCACCGGACTTGGAAGGTCCTATATATATATTTCAGCTCCCAGACTCCAACTGTTGGAGAGAAGGACGTCGACATGGACATCCCGAGAATTTGGTGAAGCACTTTCTATACGGCAAAAGTCGGTTAGTATGTTGAAATCTCAATCTTTCCATTCCTTGCAAAGGGATTGCTTTCTTGGGTCCTGCAGTCGAAATTCCCACCACAGCAAGTGTCCCACCAATTTGATGTGGCAAAAGGGATATGGTGGGAAGAAGCTGAGCCACTGGATATGTGATACGTGTTGACATATGGCTGTGGGTCAACACCCAGAGCCCTAAAACCTGGTAGGTTGACCTCCTTAGTCAGTCGTCCATTCATCTTCCATGGTCAACCAAGGTCCCCTGGTGCCATTGACCAATAGCAGTCGACCTGTCCCAAGGATCAGCCGGTGAAGGTGATCCGCCGAATCACACGGCTATTGCAGATCAATTGGACGACCTATTTGGTCAAGCTGCATGGCGAAAGATGAGGGATCTACAGGTGGATCTATACCCAAATTTGTGATGCTTCCCTGGTCCGGAGTGGGTCATACCAAAAAGACTACTCCACCGGTCGGACCGAACGGTCGGACCGAACGGTCGCTTGGTCGGATGGGATGGGATCCGCTGGAACGGGGGCGCTGGTGGCGCCGACGGTAAGGACCCGTTTTGTTGGGAGGTTGTCTTCTGCGCAATCCTGTGAATCATGATGAGGTACATCACCCGTTTTTTTTTGCACTGCTAAATTGAGCTAGCAGTAGCTCTGGAAAAAGCTGTGTGACAAGGGTGTTGCCCATTTCCAGAACCAGTCGGTAAATCATGATCACAATTTGTGGGGAAAGTCCTTCTTCTTCCCATCATCATCCACTATCATCCACTGGTAGTTCCACTGGTAATGGGAGATGTTTGAAGATCGTCTCACAAGAAGCTCACAAGAACCTTGTGCAGTTTCGCTGGATCCTCTTGGGTCCGAGCAGCTGTTGGGCTGCACACCGTTGGAGATGCTTCGAATTTTCACTCTGCCTTGACTGGAGATGACACTTGTTTGTCCAAGTGAACAACTCGCATCCCTGGCCATGGGATTTCCATGGGGACAACCCGTCATGGATTTCTTCCTCGCGGGCAGAGAGTCGAAGCAGCATGTTGGAAATAGCCTGCATCAACGATTCACAAAGAAATAATCATGCATTTCCTGAACTGGTTGTTAAAACCATTCACCAATGGTTTTGGAACCACAAATGGTTTTACTTCAGGCTTTTGCACCCAAAGAAACATCCAGATCGTTCCCCAAAGAGGTCGGACCGACCCGTCTCCGCGACCCTTCGATCCATGGCGCGAGAGCAGATCGAGGTGGGAAGTCATCATCTCCAAGTACAAAGCCGCCAGGGAGTCGTCTCTTGGATCTTTATTCCGGTGCAATTCCTCCGGCGCAGGGGCGCTGCAAAATCAAAGAAAAGCAGGGAAGAGAAGCATGGCGAATTCGTGTCTGAAGTCTGAAGAACTTGATCATGAAGTTTGTCAATTTGCTTACTGCAATTGCAGGTTGTTTCGCCACGTACTTTGTGCACCTTGATCGTCCCTACCGACGTCCCGACGTCCCGACGTCCGACGTCCGAGACCGAGTGCACCGCGGCACCGCGTGGCGAGGTATTTGGAGCACTTGGCAAGGCAGGACGAGCTGGCGAAGCAGCAACTCATCCGAGACTTAAAGGAGAAGCCTCACCTCAAACAGGACCGACTGGGGAGGGAGCAGTTGAACAAAGCAGGCGAACCTGCAAGTGTTGACTATAGGTACTTTTGTATTTTGTAACTCACTCACGGTAGAAAAAGGTGCAGTTTGGTTTGGATCATTCGAAGGTGCCACTCCTGACGAGTTCGCCCGGCCTCTACACCTTTTGGAACTTCCTGCCGACGTATTTGCGCAGATGATTGAAGGGATGAGTTTGATCACCGGGGTGATCCCCTCAAGTCCCTTCATATCTTCAAATGTTTGGATACCAGGTCATCATTTTCTGATCCAGGAGCTTTTGCAGAAGTCCTTGACAAAGATGAGGGAAGCTGAGGATAAATTCTACAACGACAACGTGCAACCGCAGTTGCGCAGGCTGCGGCCCGCCAGAGGAGTTTTTGGTTGTTGAATCCAAAGCCGGACAACATGTCGTGGTGTGGGAGCATGGGGGTATGGATTTGTAGATCTTGAGCTGGAAGATGTGTAATTATGCTTGCATGGAAGTACCTAGTGACCTCAGTGTGAGGTCTATACTGTACTGTTACATACTGTTACTTTGTTCATTTGCTCGGCTTGACTGGTGCTGTTTCGATAGCGGGCTGTCCCCCGCGATCGGACCGTGAGAAGAACTGCAGAAGCGTGACAGGTGAATCCCGCCATGCTGATTGCAGGTACAAGGCGGTGAAAGACAGCGTGTCGGAACTTCAGCGAAAACTCCAGGAGAACTTCAGTGAGTCAGCGAAAAACATCTCACATGGGTGCCTTTTGCATCGGGGAGATGGGGTGATCAGCGCTTCCCAAAAAAACAAGGGCAAATGGAAAACCAGCGGCTGAATCGTGTCTGGACTGAGTTTCCAATTGGTTTTCATTCGTGGGGGCCCATCACCAAGGGTCGGATGCTTGTGGCTCCCAAGGGTCAGTGGACTCCAATCGATCCGAATTCCCTGGAGTCAACTGAATATCTTTTGCCCCAACACCGTTCAACGCGGTGTTTGGACCAAACACCCGCGTTTTTTTGGGTACACGCGCCGCAGGAGTTGAAGGCTAAGACACAAGACTTGCAGCAAAATGTGTCCTTGTGCTTCACTCGGTCTTTAGAACTCGAAAGTCACGACGACCTCTTGCGGAGGCAGGAACCGGGCGTGGCCGCGCATGACACACCTAGCTCTAGCTGGGCGGGTGACAGGATGGGTCAAAGATCATTGGAGAAGATATCGTGTAACATCGGAAAGGATATGTCCAATACCGTTTCCGCTAAGCCGCTAGGCTTGAGATCCAAGGTTGGGGCCACCCGTTGGTAGATTCATGTCCAAAAAGATTCAAAAAGCTTGTTTCAGGGAATTGAAGTTGAATTCAAGGGTGGATGTGTTTGTGTTCTTTCCTTGCGCTCTCTCTCTCTCTCTCTCCAGGTTTGTGCCCTGTCAATCCTTTTTTTGCTGGGCCATGTTGCCCCAACAAACGCAAACTCTGGCGGTTTGGAGGATGATGTGGGGGACCCCAAACACAACGGCATCAGCGGGAGCAGACGGCATCAGCGGGAGGATGGATCGGGCGATCGCCTGGTCTTCTTGCACTGTTGGAGGATGGTGGCCAGGTTCTGCACTGTTGGTGATATGATGTGCTATGGATCCTCAACATGTGATCAACCAGTGCCATGACTCATGACCCCCCCCTCCTCTTAACCCTGCCTGATCCGAAACCAGGTTGGGGGCCGGTGGACTGTCCCGAGCTTTTCCGAGCTGCCACCGCTTCGGTGGGTGTCCGAACCCTGGTCCGAGCGGTTCAGGTATCAAAGCGAGCTGGAGGATGAGAGACGGAGGGAAAGCGAGGTGAATCGGCAGGTGGAAGAGGCCCAAGTGAGATGGCGATCATCGAAGATGCGGATGAAGCCCAATCTGGAGGAACTCATCCCGGGCCATCACATCTTGGAGCAGTTGCAGGCTCTGAGCTGTCTTGGATAGAAGGAACTTGAAGGAATCACGTTATTTGGATTCATGATTACTGAAATTTCTTCTTTTCGCGCTGCACCCTGTCTCTCTTCAGCATGGACCCGGGGGAGTTCAAAATCGAGATAACGAACTTCTGGCAGGATCCAAAGGCTCAGGAGAAGTTGGAAGAGATTTTCTTCTTGAACGAGGTGGGTTTCGGGGTCCGACCGTCGGAGGAGGGGAGACGTCGCTGTCTCGTATTGCAAGGAACGGTCGGGATGGAAGGAACGTAAGGAACGGTCGTTTGGACGTCGGTCGTGCTGGAGGGTACATACATCACGTCTGACCCTACAATCAAATGTGGAAGTTGTGGCGATTTTCTATTGTTGAAGCGTTTGCATTGGGGTTTGGGGTCACTGCGTTTCCTTGCTGGAAGCTGGTTTTTGGAAGGACTATGCCGGGACCCTCCTCGTGGCGTCGCGTTTCCATTGGGGAACACACGTCTTGTTTCTACTATGCCGTGACTTCCGCAGCTCAGTGTAACATCAGATTGGAGAACACCCGGTCAGTGGTTTAAGATGGTTTCAGTAGTTCACATCCAACAGTGGGTACCTGGAAGCACCTGAACACCTTGTAAGCCAACTCCATCTCGTTTTCAGCTCGTTTCGTCCCAACATCTCTCCACCTCATGTGGAGCACGACAGCCAGGCCACCCAGCCTCAAAGTGTCTTTTCGGAAAGAGAGCTTCTTGCCTGGAGACGTCGAGGGGAGCCGACCGCGGAGCCGACCGCGGAGGCGGCGAAGCGCCGTGCGGAGGCGCCGGCGGACCGTGCGGAGGCAGCGCACCGCGCGGCGACGCGCGAGTTGCTGCGGCTCTTGAAAGCGCTGTGGCCGCCCGAGGATCGTGGTCGACGAGATGAGTCGCTTTTTTGGGGTCGTGGAGAATTGTGAAGAGTCGGTCTATAAGCTGGGCGGGAGGACAAAGAATGGAAGTTCTTTTTTTTTCAAACGAACTAGAGCCCAGACATGACCTCTGTTTTGATAGGAAAAGACCACATTTTGTGTGGTTGGTGGTCCAAAATAGAGGTCACCCAGATTCTAGGTATACATGCAGCTATACTATACTTGGAACTTGGGATGTTCTAATATCCATAAATGGTGACCATAGTGATCTGGCCTTTAAGAGGATGTCTTGGGCAAAGTCACCTTGCAGTCCTCTCGAACATGTTGGAGTTGCAGTTAGAGCACCGATCAATATGGTCGACGCCAAGACAGAGAGGCTCAAAGGATCCCATTTGAAAGGTACTCTATTCTTGGGATTTGCTTTGTGTGATTCACGGTGGTGGTTGACGGGTTTTGCCAGTCACCAAATGCACCAAGTCATTGAGTCTGTTCCTTTCGACTGTACCAAAGTCCAGTCGACTTCAAAGGTCCAGCTAACCCAGCTCGGAGAGTGGATGGCAGAAGGTTCCCCTTGGAGGCCTGAGACTGAGAGATCATACTCCTCATCTTAAAGACCCACCGGTTCTCCCTCCATTGCGGCTGGACGAAGCCAGGACGTCCAGGAGCCTGACCCACACGTCAGCGCCTTGGCACCGCCCAGTCCTTCAGTGCGAAGTCGGTCCGGCAGCCGACGCAGCTCGAAGGCAGCAGCTTGGCAGATCGGATGGTTCGCGAGGGAGATGGCGGCGGAGGCAGCAGAGGCGTTTTTGGTGGACAAGAGATCCAAGACAACATCTGGAGCTACAGCTAGAAAAGCTGAGGCTGTAGCTCCAGAAAAGCCTTGGAGAGCTAGAAAAGCCTTTTTGTGGACTCGCTGAGGAGAGCAGTTGCCTGATAACCGCTCCCCCGTTCGTGCCAGTGACACCATCTACAGCTGCTCCTGACAGGTCTGTTCTAAAGCAAACATCCATGCAGCGCAGGATCGGATCTTTCTCCATTCACTTGTGGTTCAAACTTAGGTCATACCCGAACCAGTGGCTCTACGTGCAAGTCATCGCCCTACGTACGACATGAACGTGTTTTTGACTCTCCAATCTGGTGGTGTAGAGAGCTACTTCCCGATGCCTTGAGTCTCCAATGACCCTTTTAAATTTGCCTTTCCAAGAAAAAGAGGTTTCTGAAAGAAAAACACTTTTGCATATGTCACGAAATGTTCCTTTTTTTGTTTGTGCCCTGTCAGATCCTCCTTAGACAGTGTCCTGAGACCTTTTTTCGGCGTCCAAAACGCGTCTTTTTGCGTCCAAAAGGCATCTTTAAGCGTCCGCATGGGACGTGTCTGGATGAAGATTCACTCTGTACCTTTTTTTGAGTCCTCATCTCTGAGAACGCGTTTTTCAAGCAAAAACACAAAAACATTATATAGACCAAAAACACAAACGCAGAAAAAAGGTCTTTGGAGACTCAAGGTGGTAAGATCTTTGGTGGTGACAACTAGACTGAAGACTCGCGCAACATTGCTGTTTTATCTCATGGGTCATTACTGCAACCTGGATCACAAGTTGTCGAACACGGTTAAACCAAACTGCCAGGTAACACATGTACATCACATCGATCCGTTCTCCAAGACACGGGTTCTTTGGGAACTCCGAACCCTTTGGGTGTTGTGATTGGGCGAGGCTTCAGGAACAAATCCATGCTGGAATTGGTCCAAAAGACTTCCTCAAGACTCTTTCTATCTCTTTCTCTATGCTCCATCCATCCAAGGAGACCCCTGCAGCACCTGCAAGTGCCGTGGACACTGCCGTCATGCAGCCGGAGGCCCCGCCTCCCGTACTGCACCAGTCGGATACAGATGCGGGTGCCGGCGTGGCGGGCGCGGAGGCTGCCACGGGCGCGTCGGAGGCGCCGCCAGTGGCGAGTACAGAGCAAGAGCAATACACAAGGGAGACGCAGAAGCCAAGCATCGGCAGGCGCGCGGGGTTCTTGCGGGTGGTTGCAGATCTTCAGGGCTCCGATCCGCGCTTCGCTTGTCCAAGCAGAGTTTCACACACTTGTTTTTCATGACCCAAGTCGCCGAGCCAGCCCGAACATTTTTTTGCCCTGAAAAGGAGGCTCTCGTGGCAAGTGCCTCAAGTGCCCCAATCGCCTTCTTTGACTTCAAGCTTAAAGAGTGAAGAGACCAAAGACTTGGATGAACGAAATCCTCCTCAGGTCCGCGGGGTATCGCAAAACTGTTCGGGGACGATAGACAACAGACCATAGTTGATTTTAACATTTTAGCCTGTATGAGTCCATGCTGAAGTCCTTTACTCTATCTCTTCTTGGGCGATCTCACCCTTCTCAACCCCAACTCATTCACGGAGGACACCAGCGCATGTGGTGATGAGACCGTGCCCGTCATGCCCGTCGTGCCCGTCGTGCCCGTGGTGCCCGTGGTGCCCGTCGTGCCCGTCGTGCCCGCGACGCCAACGACGAGAGGAGAGCAGAGCAAGGCCGACCGTTGGGGACACGGTTCCGGTTCCAGTTCTAGGCGTTTGAGGGTGGGAAATGGAACCTACAAGCGATGGCCTGGAGTCTGCTATTCTCAGCAGACCGGTGGAGAACAGCCAAAACCAGTTCTGGATTTCGATCAGGGGATCAGGGTGGAAGGTATTCCGTCTTCCTTTCGAAGCGTGAATTGCACAAAGTTCAGACACCTTACTTGCTAAACCACAGACTGGCCTTGACCCAACTAACCACATCAGACATCGTCCCACACCATGCCGGACCTTCCATTTATCAATGCCTTGAACCTGAGTGACTTAGTTTTTGGAGTTCCAACTATCTAACATGGTCTTTCCTTGCCAAAGCACGGGCCCAATGGGTTTCAGGGTGGTTATTCATCTCATTTTCGACACATGGACGTTTCTCTTTATTTCTTTGATCCCACACATGTTGTTTCCAGCTCATGAAAGGCCGCTTTTCAAAAGCGAAGAAGAAAAGATGAGAACTACGACTACGATCCTCCTCACAGTATCTAACTCGCATGTTGTCATAGTAGGAAGGCCTACCCCAAGATCAGTTGGGAGCAGCCATACATGGGTTTGTTTTTTAATACGGGGAAGTAACAAGAAGCTACCTAGAACCGCGTTCAAGTTGAACTTTCAACTTACAAGGCAAGAAAGCTCGTATGTGACCCTCTCGTTGTTTTTTTTGTTTTCTACGATTTTTACCGTTCGAGGATGTTTGAGGCCTTTCCTGGACTTACCGAAATGAGTTCTCGAATAGTGCTCGAAACAAAAACATTGCTGTGCATGAAAATAACAAGGGTTCTTCCAAGATCCAGCCTTGAGAAGGTTTATCAACCAACATGTATGGACCAAATATGGACTGATGCCCGGTTGATGTCCCAAAGGCTGAACTGGATCAAATCCTGGGATGCTCCCAGGAACCTGGGAATCTACACCTGTTGGGCATATGTTTCAACAATGGCATCGGGATTTCACACCGGATTTGAACAATGTTTGATGCAGGCTTCTCCACCAACCACGAACGCCTCTTTTCGCGATCGATGCTGAGTTCACTCAATCTATGGATACTGTTGGACACCAGCAGCAAACAACCCGGAATACATACTCACAAAAGTCACCAAACATGGACAGCTCAGCCTGCTCGCATGGAGCTTCACCGAAGCATTGTGGGCTTAATTAATCGATCCAATTCAAGGTACTCCTGACTTGTTTAGCTGCCGGCGAAAGCAGAGTGCAAGCTCTTAATTGTGATCTCTTGCGCTGGTCACCGTTGCTGCATGGAAGAATGTCAAAAGGTGTCAAGGAATTTTGGGGTGATTGCATGAACACTCATGAACAGTTTCCAAGGGCTGACTAGGCTTTGGGTTCCCAAACCCTCCATGCCTGCACACAGGCCTCTCAGTCAGCCAACTGCATTCGCGGGTCCTCAGAGGTCTTTTTGGTTCAAAGTTCAGGAGGTTATACATGCAGGCTCTTGGGATGGCATTGGTGCCTACACCTGCGGTTCGCACCTATTCCCCCTCACGGAGTGCTTCGGCCGACGGCGACAAGGTTTCCTCCTACTCGCTGAGCGGATTGCATGTGGAATGGGACAACGTACCAGAGGTACGGGACAGGTTGCGGGAGGGGCAGCATGTCTTCCGACACGTTGACATGGAGCAAAACAAAGTCACTGACGGCTACGTGGAGAAAATTCTTCCCAATGTTCGTGCCAACCGGCTTCAACTACGACCCGTTCTTCGATTGATGTCCCAACACCGCCTACACCTGCCTTCCATCGACAGCTTGATAGAGGAGGTGAGGGCCCTGTATCGTTGCTCCAAGGTGTCAGCTACGTATGACACTCTTTACCATGAGGCTTGGGGATGTCGACGCTTGCTTTCTTTGGCGAAGAATTCATTACTTTACCGGAAGCACTTGTCCGAGGACGGGTCATGTCAAAAATATCTCTGAAACCCACACACAATCGCCCACATATACACACCATTACACACCCATGCAAGCAACCATGCACAAATATACGATGGCAGCTTCTGAATATGTGTGTATGTGTGCAGGCATGCAGTGAGATGCATCCGGATGCATGCTCAATGTATATAAGACTTGGCCTATATTATATAAGAAAACACGTGTGCAGGATGACTGGGAGCTCAGGGAGGTTGCAAACGACCTTGGCATCGAGGTGAATGTGCGGTCCAAGGAGACCACTGCCACTTCCTTGGGCCAATCATACCCGATCATGGACGATCCTGACAGCCTTCCTCCTCCACCACCGCCGGCGTTGCCTCCACGTGTTGAGGATTCACAGGACCCTGACGCGGGAGCTTCAGGCGACACTGGCTCTTTGGCCCATGGACAGCGAACTTTGGAGCAGCTTGCTGCTTGCCGATTCAGACCATACAGGAATCAGGCAATTGTCAGAGTGGCAACTGAACGGTCTCTTCGACAAGCGACATTGGAAGACTTGCCATCTCTTCAACCACATGCTAAGGTTGAGAGCGCCAAGTCTTCAGAAATGCATGGCGTGCCAGCTGCAACCACTGGACCACCAGCATCGAGGTCGCATGAGGCTTCCCGTTTTGAATATGGTGTCTCCTCTTTTGACAAGGACAAAAATCTATTAAGGACATGTGCTGCATGTGCGCAGAGAAGTACATGGCTGTAAAGTGTCCAACCCATGAAATTTCAAGTCTCATGTCTTATGCAATTCATGCTGCGATATATACTCTTTTGATGCAACATGTCTTCTTGTGGCATTCGGAGGTGGTCGACCTAGACTCCGATGGTGAACAAGAAGAACCAAACTATGACCCTGAGGCGATGGAGGCAGAGCTGATCCAAGTTCTGGAAAGTATCCAGGAGCTGCTCAGCGCCAACTTACATATGCACGTTTTTCCAAAATATTTGTATTTGAGCATGCATACATGCATGGATAACCAAATGGACTCCCCCGTGGACTCCCGCGTGCGCAACTCCAAGGTTGAGCCAGGTCACAACTCCGACTGCAGAAGGTGATGCAAAGCCAGGCAGTGCAAATCCTCCTGCAGAGGGTTGCATGGCCGCAGTGAACCGGAACGAGGTCGAGAGTCATCAATCACCATCCCGTCAAACATAATTAGGATTGGAAAATGTTTGAACCATATATGGACATGGTTTGTGTTTGATTGGCACCAAGGTTCTCCGGCTACTTTGGTGTTGGAATCGCAACCTCCGTGTTTGGACAACGCGGAAACCCAAGAGCCAGTCCCCCCTCAAGACTATGAACACACATCGGAGATGAAGGCTATGCTCAAGAATGAGGACAACAAGATTGCTTTGGCTGTGGCAGCGAAACTTGAGGGGAAGGAAAATCAGGAGAAGGGCTACAGTTTTGTTGTGCATTGTTATCCAGTTTCCTGCGTGTGTTCTTTTCGCTTCACGTGCAAATCCAATATGGCCATCCACGATGCAACACTATACCCTGCTTTGCAGTGCCCATGCATATCTTTATAGGTGCACCATTTTTTAGATATACTTTGAAGCCATGCACTATCCATCCAACCGGGGTCAAAACTGTATATGAATATCCATGCACTGTATGCTGCATATCGAGCAAACAGTCGGGTTTCCAGCACAGTGCCTATATTTGGAGCTCATTTGTTTGACTTTACATGAGTCTATACTTATGCCCAACCTTATGTTCCGCACATTCCTGTTGGCCTGAATGCTCATGTGCATGGAAAACTTTGAAGCAAGTCAGAGCACGGCAGTCGATATCGTGCAGAGCTGCTTGAAGACATGTATGCATTGGTTTGGAATAAACAAAGCAAGCCGAAAAGGGATACTTGTTAAACCAATATATCTTGTGCACACACGTATTCATATATGTGGGTGCCCACCCTGAAGGAGGAAGATTATCCAGAGGTTCCATCCCACCCCGCAGTAACGCGACGCCAGCAGTTCGGACTCAAAGACGACCTCAAAGATGTCAAGCAAGAGAAAAAAAAGAACCGCAAAGGGAAGTCAGGGAAGTCTACCAAAGCCAAGAAGAAGGGGAGGTTGAACAAAAACAAGAACAAGAAAGCCAGGAAGAACCAGGGGAAAGCTGCTGCCAAGCAGAGTGCTTCCCAAGAAGTTGATGAGAGCATGCCCAGCCCAAAAAAGACATCGCTCAAGGTTGAGGGCACCGTTTCCAGGGGGCTGGGCAGGCTACGCAAAGCGAAGAAGGCTGCACTAGAAAGGCAAGGCCAAGAGATGTCTGGTGGCCCAACCATTGCCGCTAAGAGTGTCCACGACCCGCCCGAACCTGCCGAAGTGGAGATCGCTTCATCTTCTTTCGAGCCAAAGTCCATTTTGAAGAAAGGGAAGAAGAACAGCAGGAAGGCCCCACCCAAGAATGGCAAGAAGAAGGCCAAGGCCGATCCAAGAGACAAAGGAGCAAAACCTGCAAAAGTTTCAGAGAAGACATTTGACCACTATGTCCTTTGCATCGACAAGGTTTTGGAGGAGTGCAAGTCAACTGACTGTGCGCACGAAATGTTTGATGGGTCAGTGCCACAGGACTTCAAGATTTCTTGCTACTGGACCCGTGATGCATGTGGGGTGAAAGTGTCCAATTCGTTGTTGAACGACCAGCCCAAGAAACAGAAAGCTACCAAGAAGCCCAAGAAAGAGTTCAAGTCCAAGAACATCTCTCAGATTGCCTACTTTGCGGATGGGGGTTGCATCTATGTCAACATCAGAATGGCGCAAGTTTTTGTCCCTTGGTCATTGGTTGTGTTGAGAACGCAGGTCAAAGAGTCAAAGAGTCAAAGGGTTGGCGTTAAAAACATTCTATATACTTTTTGTCCTCGGTCTTGAATAAGGCTGAGGCGATGGCCCGGAAGGTGGATGAGGGCGAATTGTTGGAGAGAGCTTTCATCCAGTCGCACATCGATGCGTTCAAGAATGCTCAGAAAAAGGCTTTTGAGGCCCGTGGCCTGGACATGAATTTGAAGGCCGCC